GTGACTGTTACTAATGGCCCCCATTCAGACCTTATTGATTCATAACTGTCAGCTGTTTGAGCTGAGTATGCAACATAGATTGAGGTCTTTTTCTTTAGTAGTTCTGATGGATAACTTTGAAGAGATGGGATAACTGCATTTAAAGAAGAGAAATACTTTTTTTTCGAATAAATATAAGCAATGTTCTCTGAACTTATTGGAACAGATAACTAGGAAGAGTTATACTATCATTCTCAATTCATGATAACTCCAAAAAAAGTGAGTTTATAACATGTTGTTTTGATTACTAGTTTATGTAACAGTTTTATTAAGCTGATTCCAAAGCAATATGTTCCAAAGTGGTTTATATGAGGACACTAATAAATGCAGCATCCCAAGCAAATAGACCAACCAACATTTGGACTGATAATATGAATCATTTCCATTGTCATTTGGAAGACTCTCCAAATTTTTAAGTCTCACATGGCTCAGAAAATCCGAGAGTTCAAAAGTCAAGTCAAAGGCAAAGTCAACAAATACAGACACTTCACCCTTGATCTCAAGAGTAATTTCAAAGACTTCACTGATTTGCATTTGGTAATCAAAGCAACAGAGAACGGAGAAAATCGGCCTAATTACTTTCTCCACTGGCCCGAAAGCACTGACAACCCTTGTTTCTTAGGGGAAATGAGAATTTCAAAAATCTCTTTACTCACAAATAAAATCCTCATAGGGTGTAAAAGGAACCTGATAGAGGCTGATTTACAATTGAACTGATATCCTTGAATTGCTTCCCAGTCAATAAATTTCTTTGGTAAGGAACATGAACAGATTCTATCATGATTCCCGAATAATCAAAAAAACACACAAAAAAACCTTATAATATTTTAAACAAAGTCATCTCTGTTCTAAACTTATTACTTGTCTTTTTTAGGAGTCATGCACAAATCAATCCTCACCCTTGAAAGAACAATTAGAAAAATAATTAGCTATAAGCACATGTAACTTTTAGTGACAGCAGCAAAATAATGATTAAATAAATAAACCAATTAAATAAACCTAAGTAGTAAATGTGTTCTTGAAAAATTAATTGATTATCTTTGCCTATTTCTTACCAAGGGAAGATTCAATATGTATGATTTGGACATTAATGTAAGAAAAGGAAGATCAAAAGAGGCAAGGAAGGGGTCAATTAATGATAAACATTTATTGAGCAGCTCTGTGTGTCCAGGAAAACTCTGTGGGAACAGAAGTATGTTTCCATTAACTAAAAATCAAGTTGTAAAGAGTAACATAACCAGCAAATGCCAAGCAAAAATTTAGTATTACTGACTTGGAGTCATTAGGGAAGTTGCTCATGAAGAGAAGAATGGATAGTTTGAAGGGAAAAGATTGACAAAGTAAAGAAAGAAGGGAGAGGTGAGGAATAAGAGAATCTTTGTGGGCAGGTACAGTCATAAATCTCCAAAACCTCCAAATGTCAAATTTTTCATACGGGTTCTAAGAACTTATTGCAAAAACAGTGTTAGTCAATTTCTGTCACAGTGACAAAAAACCCGAGAAAAACAACTTAAAGGAGAAAAGATTAAGTTTAGCTCACAGTTTTTTAGAAGTTTCATTCCATGTTTAGTCGGATCCATTGTTTCTGGGACTGAGGTAGAAAGGAATGGCTAAAGAAAGCGGTTTAGCTCAGGGCAGCCTAAAGCAGAGAGACAGGAATGGGTGGGGGAAAGGCTATAGTCCCAAGGGCACACCCACAAAACCCACTCCCTCCAACTAGGTCCCACCTCATGAATAGACCATTCAGCTAAAAATCCCTTAATGGAGTAATAATCCATTGATGAGGTCAGAGCCCTCACGATCCAATCACTTCCCCCAAATTCCCACCTCTTAACATTCTTGCCTTGGGAACCAAGACTTCCCACATGAGCCTTTGGGGTTGTTTCATATCCAACCCATAACAGAAACCATGAAGGGAGAAGAGATGAGAGAGTAAATGTAGGAAAGTAATACCATGTTTTAAGCACCGTTCCTTCTTTCCTTCATTTGACAAATATTATTGAGTTCTACTCCTAGGAGCTTTGAACAATTCCAGACCCTGGGCTTGTCGTGATACCAATAAACAATGTACCCAATGCAGAAAATCAAGTTAAAGAAAAAACAGATATACTATTTAAGGAAAATGGCAGTAGGAAATAAAAAGAAAAAAGATTTTTTTTTTTTTTTCTGAAAGGCCTCTATTTATTTTTAGGTCTATTATCAACAAAAACTTACATATGAATTTCTTAAATTTGACATTTATTTTGTGTGCTTATTTTGAATGAAAACCGATCTTTATTATTGATTAATAAAAAGTACAGCATAACTTGTTATACTTGTCAAAACAAGTCAAACATTCCACTTACTTAAAATGGAATGCTTAAAAGTATATATCTCATTGGGGGAAAAAGGTATCTGTGCTATAGCAAGAGAACAGAATTTTCAGAGGATTCAGATACAGATTTAATTGTTACAAATCTCATAATCCTCTTCTGTTCACTTTTTATTGTGCCAATTTTTTTTACCATTTCTCCATCTCTACTATCTTACATGTTTATAATCTTACATGATTGCCTCTGACTTTTCCCTCTCCCTACATTGACTCTGTATACCATTCCTTTTGTTGATATCTGATTGTTATTACCCACTGACATTATCTGTCATCCCCAGGCCTCATTCCTTCTCTAATTAATATAATAGTTTCCAGTGTTTCCTTCTGCCAGGCATAGAAGTTGAGGCTCCAAGATTGGAACTCCACTTGGAAAGGCAACACTTCAATCCTTTCTTCTTGATCAGTTCTACTAAAATGGGCTCTTACTACTTTGCACTCTGATTCAAATCCTTCCCCAGTTCACTGGATACTACTACATACAGAGTCTGTCCAGTCTCCTTCCATTGAGCACTTCGGCTGTTACTATTATTTTTTTTTTCCAAGAGTCCAACATGCTTTTTGATTTTATGTTTTTCTTTCATTGATTCAAAAAAAATTGAGCATCTCTGTAATTATAACTGTACAAGAGGTTTAATAGGGTGAAGAGGTCTAGGAGTGGAGGGAACAGGACAAAAAAATGAATAATTCATTATGTTTTGAAAGTGGGTGGTGACAGAGAGCCTTGGACTCAGGCATCCCATCCCGCTGTGTGGCTGACTCATTTATCAATCTGAAGAAATTCATTTCTTTCACTACAACATGGTCCACTTTTGTCCATACCCCAAGATTTCATTCATGCTGTCCCTTGTCCTTTTCAGTATTCCCCAAATATGCCTAGATCACATGCCAAATAATAATGAAGTTGTCCTTTTTCTCCTTGCCCTAAACATCTCCTATTTCAATTCCCATGGTACTTTGTTATAGATCTTTTCCCAGTTTAATCACATCCTTGTTTGTATCAAGAGTTTATTATCAATATCTTATCTCTTTTTACAATGATCTGCCTCTTAAGATGAGCAAATATGACATATATGTATTATTTATATTTCTTTATATTCACAAAATAGATGTTTAATGTTCTTCAAGCTAAAATAATGGATAATAAGTTGAACAAATAAGTTGAACAAATAATAATAATAAGTTGAACAAATAATAAGTTGACAAACTGAATTTTAAAATCAAACAGTGGAGAGGATTGACTACACAAATTAATTCCTGCACACTTGTGACAAAATAACTACATCAACTACTACAAAAATTAATGACTGTAGAAAGGAAAATTGCCACTAACAGACCAGGACCCCCAGCTTTGAAAGGGTTAAGCAGATCTGCCCATAAAGGGGAAAAAAATTGTTCTTCATTTGCCTTCATTAAAGACTAATTTTAGGTCTTTGGGTAATTAAATGAACACATTGTTTATGCTCCATGCACTTTCGGCCCTGAGTCTTGGAAAACACATGAAATTTCCAAGAATTAAAGTTTCCATTAACACAAGTGCCAAAATAAGGAGGATTGACTTGTGGGAGAAAGCACATTTGTCTCTTCTGGCTTCTTTTCAAAAGCTATAGAAAGATATTTACTGTATAATCTTTCTTGTGCGCAATTGCTCTGTTTTATCATCCAGACAATCTGGAGAAGTTGCAACATTTCAGAAAGCAACCAATTACCGAGGACCAAAGACTGTTCTGGTGCTGAAGTGCTGACAGCGGTCCCTGTTTGGGGTAAAATTTCTTCATTGAAAAAGACTGCTGATGGTTCCATTTTGTCTATTTTTCTTTCTGTTTCTTTGGTTGTTGTTTTGGGTGTGTGTGTGTGTGTGTGTGTGTGTGTGTGTGTGTGTGTGTGTGTGTGTGTGTGTGTGTGCGCGCGCGCGCGCGCGCCTGTGATTCTTTAAGAACTGGCTTTAGCTTGTGAAGAAACAGTCTACTATGGTGGCTTTCGTTCCGTCTTCCACCTGTACCGTTCCTTCTAGATGGAAATATAAGGTAAATAAATGTGTGCGCATACAGCTTGAACACCTCGGAAGAATATTTCCTGATCCTTATATCTGGTTTTATTCATTCTGAAGTAGCCCAGTGATCTAACCAGTTTACAAAATAAAATAAAATAAAAAAATCTTTTTACGTCAGTGAACTTGGACAGAGCGCCTTTTAAAGACTTGTGTTTCCCGCTGGAGGCAGGGGGTCGCCGCTACTGGAAAAAGAGCTGGCTCTACGGGTCCCGCCCTCCCGGGTGGTCCCTCCCCCTGGCCCGCTCCCTACCTCCAGGGGACTCGCCTTCTCCCCTACTCCCACCCCCCTACCCGGTCCCCATCTCTGCGACAATCGTGGCCTCTGAGGTCTTCTGGCGCGCGTCAAAGCCCTAACTGGAAGGCTGATTTGTGGAGTATCACCATCAGGCTCCTCTCGCGCCAGCGCTCCTCCGCCCACTGCAGCGGCCGAGGGAGTTGAGCTGAGCCCGGGGGAGGGTAAGATCAACACCCACCTCCCCTTCCTCCCGACCTCCCGGCGTTTGATTCAATTGCACCTTTTATTATTTTAACTCTTCTCGGGAGGACAAGCATCCCACGGATCGGTCCCTGCGGCATGGGCAGCCCTGCTCCCGCGCGCCGGGAGCGAGGAACCTGCCCGAGTTCGGTCAGCGCGTGCGGGGAGGTTGAGCAGCGCTGTCTGCTGCTGCGGCGAGTCTGTAAGTTCAACTCTCCTCTCGGGGACGGGAGGGGGAGACCTCCGCATCCCCGCAAATGATTTAAAATGCAGAACGCAGCAGAGGCTTCCCGTGCAGCTTGGACTTTTCGGAGCACACTCCCTGTAACTCTAATCGCAGCCCTCACGCTGTTGTCCGGGGTTACCTTGTATGTTTGACCCCTTCGTTGTAAGGAAGTTTTCAATATAGCATGAATTCCGTGGAAAGTTTTTGGCTGTTTTAAAAAATGCATCTTGAAATTTCTTCAACTTTAAGATAATTCCTCAAAATATTCAAGTTCTATAGCACGTCTCTTATTATTCTATCAGATTACATTTAGCGTGCTATTCATCGTGCGCAAGAAGCCGTGGCCTTTTCTTTGCCTGCTTCTAAAAAACAAAGAAGGAAGAATTTCCCTTCTTTACTTTAAACCTTGCTAACTCATCTAAATACTTTAACAAGTAGATCTTGTACCCAGCTGCTTTTAATTTTTGTCTTTGACGCCCGGTGAATATTTCCTTGCATTCATCTACAGACGCTGTTAATCGCAGAGAATTATCTTTAAGCCTGCTATTTACAAGTAGGCTCCGGATTTTGTTTAACTAAGGCGATGCCCATATATATTCAGAGAACAAATCTTTTGATTCAGACCAAAGTTTTCTCTGGGATCCCAGAACTCCAAGCACAAGCTAGATTCGTATTTGTATTATTAAAAATCATGCCTTTAGTCGCACATATCCCTTTTGCATGTATACACATATCCCTGAATACAAGGACTAACGACGTAATAAAATGAAAATTTAAAAAAAAAATCTTAATCAACGTTTCCCTCGTGCAGGAGGACAGGCTGGAGGGAAGGAGAGGCAGGTGAAAGGCAGGTGGATAGTCTGGGTATGGTGACAGGACGATGTTGGCCAGAAAGAGCATCATCCCGGAGGAGTATGTGTTGGCGCGCATCGCCGCGGAGAATCTGCGCAAGCCGCGCATCCGCGACCGCCTCCCGAAAGCCCGCTTCATCGCTAAGAGCGGGGCCTGCAACCTGGCGCACAAGAATATCCGTGAGCAAGGGCGCTTCCTGCAGGACATCTTCACCACCTTGGTAGACCTGAAATGGCGCCACACGCTGGTCATCTTTACAATGTCCTTCCTCTGCAGTTGGCTGCTCTTCGCTATCATGTGGTGGTTGGTGGCTTTTGCCCATGGGGACATCTACGCTTACATGGAGAAGAGTGGAATGGAGAAAAGTGGTTTGGAGTCTGCTGTGTGTGTGACTAACGTCAGGTAAGAATGCAGTGGGATGAGGCAGGAGTTTGTAAGCTGTACAGAAAGAAAAAAATAAAGAAGTAAAAATGCCCTTTCTCTATCATTCTCTCATTTGTTGAAAATGAAATAGTTTGTTTTAGACCCTTCAGAAAGAAAACAAAATAAAGAAAAAAACTAACACATTAAAAATACATGATTGTAGCTTATGTATAAAGAGTCTCTGAAAATGGGCTAACCTTGAAAATATTATATTAGTTATTTAAAAACTGTTTTAGATCAAAGGATTTCTTACTCCAAAAGCATGCATTTCATTTTCAGTATAAACAAGCTACTGTCCATAGTTTCAAGGTCCACAAGTTAATCTCCATCAACCAAAAATAATGTGCAAATGTAAGTAGTGTCTTTCCATGACTTTTCTTATTCGTAACATTTTCAGAAATTAAGAGGAAGCACTGGGGAAAAGGAAGAAATATCTTAAAATCTAAAATATGCTAAAAATAAAATAAATATTTTTTATTTATTTTATTCTTTATCAAGATTATCTTAACATAGGTAATTGCTTGTATTGGATTCATAAATTAAAAGGTATTCTAAGATTCAGGACTAGAAAATACTAAATTTTAATGGAAATAGGTCCAAATTTTTTATGGAAGGAATTACATAAGAACAATTTAGTATTTCAGTCCTTTTTCAAAGCTCTAATAGAACAGACACAAGACAGTTCTTAAATTACCTCGCTTTGACTTCTTCTTATAAGTATTTCAAAGTCAGGTAGAGTACATTTAATATTCAAGGTTCTCCTCTCTTACTTTCACATGGTTGAAAACCATTTAGTTTGAGTGATTTTTTTCTTGATTTATTTTATTGGAAGATGAAAATACATAATTCATAGTGATGCAAAAAGTGTTCCCTCTAAACTGAAATATAATAATACTGCAAAAATTTTTAGAACATTTTCTGAATAATGTTCCAAATTCACATAATACACAAAGCAAAGACACTTGAACAAGTACCATACTGCCAAGAAACTATAAAGAATGAGATCTTTAGTGACCCTGAAATCTTATGAAACTAGTATACTACTCCAAGAAGCAAAGCCCCAGACTATGGACGGACATTGTCCCTTCTTCCATTTGTTAATTAGCTGCAGTGTCAGCCATTTAAAGAGAAATGCAGCATTAGCTTTGAGATTGCACTTCACAGATTTCATCTCAGATTTTGAGGAGGGAACACTGTATTGAATTGATCCTCTGCTTTTACCATTGTGTAGGTATTATTTTCTTTTCTCAGACTTGTCACAAACTTTTGCCTCAAAGAAAATATGGGTGAAAAACAGGTAATCATCAGTACACTAGATGTAAAGGACACAAAATTTTGTGTTCAACAGGTATTTGAAGATGAAATACCATCTGTAATATTGCATCTCTCTTTAAGAAACTTATTGGCACTGATATTGGTGAATCATTTCATATCAAAATGAATTTGATAAATATGAAGTAGGAACTAAATAAAAGAAATAATGATAAACCTTGAAAATATATGACAGATTTTACTCACAAGAAAAACATATTATCTTTTTCTATGAAAAAGATGTAATTTAGTAATCTTTAAAAAGAAATATTATCAAAAGAACTATCATTAAAAGAATTTTACAGAGTGCACTGATTATTAAAACTGTTCTCTACTGCATTCTAATTTTCAAATAAGTTGTTCTGAAGAATGTTCATTTTCTTGGTGCATTCCTGTTGGTGTGAACTATGAGAAACGTGTCAAAAAATTCAATAGAGCAAAGTTAATTTTATCAACCTAACAAGGTTTGCATTTTAAATGACATTTCTTACTTTAAATTATTTGGCTTTTTTAAACATTCAAGATGTTTTAAATTTTGAACACCTTAGAAGGAAATTAGTTGTTATCTTAGCAGTTTTTCCACTTGAATTATTTGACATCGTTTCTGTTACTGTAACATTCTGATGTTCTGTAACATTCTGATGTTAATGTTGTTACTATTTATGCTTTCACCTAAACAGTTTAATCATAACTAACCATACATTAAATTTTATTTCACTAAAAATAGAAAAATATTTACTCTCTCCTGCATGGAACTTAAAAGATGACTAATAATAATTTTAATTGTTTGAATTTCCTTTCCTTTCATAAGTTCAGTGTTCAGCCATATCATCAAAATTCAAACTTTTTTCAATGGATATTCACCAGTATTTCTAAACACCATTTGACCATTCTCATTTTAGGATTACCCACTTTCTTCTTCATGTAGATGACTTTCTAATGAGTCTAAAATAGAAAATTTATTTTCTTTATTATTATTATTCAGTCTAACTCTCTCTGTAGAGAACAAAGAAGCAACCAACTGCTTTCATCTCTTGGGACTGTTTAGCATAACAAATGTCCACAAAAGATTGCGTCTTGTACCATACATTTGTTTAAAATTAATTTTTTTAATAAAATAAACAATAAGAAAACAAGGTCCATGAATAATTTGTATTAAAATAGGACATTTAGGGATATTCATCATTAGACTGCTTCCTGCAGCATGGACCATTGTTAATAATCAATATTGTATCCACACCTCTCCTCTGGGGTCCATTTCTATTCTTTGCCATATTTTTGGACTACACTGTATATCTTGTGGTATGTCGCTAGTGCAATAGACAATTATTATAGCTTTCAATGAATCCTCTTAGAAACAATGAAGAAAAAAAGAGCAAATTTCACACTCCATTTAAAAGCTAATCAATTTCTGTATAATTGCTTACCTCTCCTGGTTTCCTGCCAAAATACACAGTGTATACGAAGTACTCAAACCTTTTGCTCATTCACTGTGCTTGGCATTGATAGATAATACCTTGACAGATGGCTGATGTATGGCTAGTCTTCTATTAAAATTAGAAAAGTTTAAAGTTGGGGTAGGTTGCAAAAATAGGACTGTTGTTCCTATGAAGAGGTCATGGCAATCTTGGATATGTAGTGAATAAATTAATAATAACTAAATATGGTGCTTCTCAATGGGGGAAAGGGGTTGGTAAATAAATCAGAATCACCTGAGAGCTTTTCTGTCTTACTCAGGTCTATGCTGAGCCTGTCAAATCCACGTCTATTCACTAGGATGTGGAGGAAATGAACAATTTGAAAAAGCTCCTCAAGGAAATTCTGACACTTGTTGGCGTCTTCCTTTTTCTCCTTTCAGAACACTGGGCCAGAATTGAGAGGATTCAAGTTTGCATTGATCACATAATCTTCACATAGTCATTTACTAACCTCAGCCTCAAATTCTTCCTTTAATACCTTCAATATTCCCTAGATCACTTCCAGAGATAGCCAATAAAGAACAGTTTTCTTTTAAAGTAGGGAAATGTTTTCTATTTTTTAAAAAATGCTAGTATTTTGGAAAATACTTTGTGTGGCTTCTCTATATAAGGTACACAATATGTTTTCTCTATATAAGGTACACAATATGTGTTAGCTTACAATTATGATTTTAAGGGTTATAAATAATAAAAAGTTTAGTTATTACTTGTTACCTTCCATATGACTCAAGTCTCTCTTAAACATGGATATGCAATAAATAATAAACTTCTGCTGGGCATGGTACACATGCCTATAATCCTAGTGGCTGGGAGGCTGAGTCAGGAGGATTGCAAGTTCAAAGCCAGCCTCAGCAACCTAGCAAGTCCTTAAGAAACTTAGTAAGACTCTGTCTCAAAATAAAAGATAAAAAGGGCTAGGGATGTGGCTTAGTGGATAAGCACCCCTCAGTTTAATCCTTGGTACCAAAAACAAAAACAAAAAAAACTTCTACCTGGTAGAAAGTTTCATCAAGCAAATTAAACTTTTTTGATAGTAAAGCATTTCACAAAGTAAAATATGCCTATAATATAATCGATATTTATTGTATATATTTATTGTATTAATGCTTTCACACAGGCACATGTCCTAGACAACAGAAGTATAGAGGTAGATGCATAAATAGATGCAAGAGAGATATGAGAGACAGAGAGAGAGAGAGAGAGAGAGAGAGAGAGAGAGAGAGAGAGAGCAGTCTTGTTTTTAAAATTAAGCATTTGACAAGTAAAGATGGCTGCTCTTTCTAAAAACTTTTAATAGCCTTTAGGGTCTAAAAAAAAATGTTCAGGTTGGGATATTATTCAAACTTTGACCTGATGGCATTTTCTTCCGATATCATCCCTTGCAGGTCATTCACCTCTGCTTTTCTCTTCTCCATTGAGGTTCAAGTGACAATTGGATTTGGAGGGAGGATGATGACAGAGGAATGTCCTCTGGCCATCACCGTTTTGATTCTCCAAAACATTGTGGGTTTGATCATCAATGCCGTCATGTTAGGCTGCATTTTCATGAAGACAGCTCAGGCTCACAGAAGGGCAGAGACTTTGATTTTCAGCCGCCATGCTGTGATTGCTGTCCGAAATGGTAAGCTGTGCTTCATGTTCCGAGTGGGCGACCTGAGGAAGAGCATGATCATTAGTGCCTCAGTGCGCATCCAGGTGGTCAAGAAAACGACTACACCTGAAGGGGAGGTGGTACCCATTCACCAACTGGACATACCTGTTGATAACCCCATCGAGAGTAATAACATCTTCCTGGTGGCCCCTTTGATCATCTGCCATGTGATTGATAAGCGCAGTCCCCTGTATGATATCTCAGCAACTGACCTTGTCAACCAGGACCTGGAGGTCATTGTTATTCTGGAAGGAGTGGTGGAAACGACCGGCATCACCACGCAAGCGCGAACCTCCTACATCGCAGAGGAGATCCAGTGGGGCCACCGCTTTGTGTCCATTGTGACCGAAGAGGAAGGAGTGTATTCTGTGGATTACTCCAAGTTTGGCAACACTGTTAAGGTGGCAGCTCCACGGTGCAGTGCCCGGGAACTGGATGAGAAGCCTTCAATCCTCATCCAGACCCTCCAAAAGAGTGAACTATCCCATCAAAACTCTCTGAGGAAGCGCAATTCCATGAGGAGAAACAATTCCATGAGAAGGAGCAACTCCATTCGAAGGAACAATTCTTCCCTCATTGTGCCAAAGGTGCAGTTTATGACTCCAGAAGGAAATCAGAACACATCGGAATCATGACAGCAGGGCAACCTCATGACAGGAGTTTTACTGTGAGTGGCGGATGCCCTGTCACACTAAACCAGAGCTATAGCACAATGACGTGGCTTACGTTTTAATGCACTAAAAGATTTTCTTATTCAAGAAATTGCACTTTCTGTATTAATAAACAACACAACACAGAGGACTTGTGGCTTACACTGTTTCACACATGCAGAATCTGCAGCAGTAGACTCAAGTTATGCACAGAAAGTGGTCTGCCCTCATTTCTCTTGGTATGAAACACAAGAACTCTGTTAATAGTTATGGACCTTAAATATAAAATTTGGCCAAGGAATGAGTCTGTTTGAAATGCTTAGTTGGTGAAAACAAATGTCTCTGTTTCTATTGTTAGCTCTGGGAATGTAAATGAAATAGGAGGGGGAAAAAAACAAAATCATGTTAAATACCATTTGTATTCTAATGTTCTCCTTTCTTCATGATACTGTATCTGGTAAGAAACCTAAAGCAAGTTTCCTAGGTCTCTATGTCTATGAGCAATCCAGGTCTTCAAAATGACTCCGGGAGATTTCCTGATTCTCCTGAAGGCCTGTTGGGAAGAACTGGGCAAGGAATCTGAGGAAAAGCTGACTCCTGTCTCAAGTAGGACTGGATTTCCAAATAGTGACAGTCATTTCCTTCAGCTTCTCACTTCTTACCAGACCCCCCCACACACAGAAAAATACTGTATTGAATATTTTATTAAAATATTTTCCTTGTACTCTCTGTAGTTTTGTATTCCTCTTTCACAAAATCACCTCAAAAAAAGCATTTTCAGAGGATAGAAAGATGTCTTAATAATAATGACACTCTCCTGAGATTCTTTTCTTGGAGCTCTTGCTCCAAGAGAACTGTGGTTTTTGTTGGGTTTTATATCATTTTGAGTTTTAAAATGTTCTCTTGGTTTTTCTTTCTGAGCCTGACATGGAAATCCTGTAAGGTATTTTTCTTTGAATCTCCCACCTTAGATCTAAAACAATACTTCCTTTCCAGCAATATCTGAATTCAGGTCTGGTGTACATAGATTTACCACAATCTCATTTGTTAAAAAAGAAGATTTTCTATCAAAGTTTGCCTTCTTCATCCTTAGTCTATCTCATTCGATAAAGTGAGATTTTCTATGGAAGCTTGATATGATCATCCTTAACTCCTGCTTCTTCATGGAAGGATTGAAAGAGAAAAGTACTAGGTTAATAAGATATGTATGATTTAGTCTTGTAACTCATGTAGCTGTATCTGAAAGCTGAGCTATTATGTAGGCTTTTACACAGAGTTTTGAGTTGAAATTATTTCATTTCATTTATGAATATGGAACCAGACAGGTAATCATGAGTATGTCCAAATTCTGTCTTAAACAAAAGACTTGAGATTCTAACCAGGTGAATGGGAAACATTTATCAGAGTATTCACCTGATCATACCTGAAAAAGTTCTGTTAACTAAATCTATAGGCCAAACATACTTGAAACTCTGCTAGGATACCTAAAAGCATTTGAATTTGTTTGTGTGTAAAACCCAATGCTTCATTTCTACTCACGAAACTGTGCCCTCTCCCTGTCTTTCTCCTAATCACTCAGGCCAACACTTAAGAGTCACATTGGACACCTTGTATACCCTTCATTAGCAAATCTTAGCTCTGCTTTCAATATATTTTCAGAATAGATCAATGCCATCTACCACTTCCTTCTTGGTCCAAGCAGGGTTACTTATGCCCCAGTATATAATATGAATTCAGCTATATCATTCTTAGAATATTGAAAGAGTTCCATATAAGTTGCTAAAGAACATCTATTTCAAAAAGATCCAGACCTATCGCCACAAAAGAAGTGGCTATCAGACTTCCTAGCAATTCTGGAACAGACACAAGTGCTGCCTCCCCATCCCCTGGTGGCTGAGCAGATCTAGAAAGCAGCTGTCGCACTAGCAATAAGAATGCATGGTACCCATCCACTCCTCAGCAGCAGCCCAACCACATAAGGTGATCCCACGGCAGGGCAGGAAATATTGGACATTGTCAATGGGGCTGAGATGTAAGATTCCTGAATCCAGGTGGTAGAGAATGTCCTGGCATCAGGGCCAAAGCCAGCTGTGGAATATGGGCAGTCCCCACCCTTGGTGCCAGTGGGGCACCAAGAACCTGGTGACCATCAGCCTAATGCAAAAGTCAATAGAAAGGTTTAATGGGACTCCCTAGGTCAAGTCATGACTCACATGGGGACAGAATTTAGGTAGTGATAGTCACATTCAACAAGATCACATCACCAACTTCTAAAAATCCACAAATATTTTAGAAACTTAAAATAATATTATAGCCTATTTTTGGTAAATTATGTTTATTTCACTAGGTAAATGATTTGAGAACTATATAATTTAGTTTTAGAAAATGAGAAGACCATCTATGTGCATGTTTCTCTCTATATATATGTAAGTATGCACACACATTTGGTTTTATATATGATTGTTACTTATATGTTGAATTTAAATGTAACTTTGTATTCCATATTTAATTTCTCTTCTTTCACCACAGTCTTCTCACTGTAGCCACAATAGTCTTTTAAATCACAAATCCCATTATACCATGCCTTTTCTTTAAACTATGGTTTTTCGTTCTTCACAAATGAAAACCAAAATCCTTACCTCCGCCAACAGTGACTGCATTTTATTGTAACCCCCACTCCCCTTTTCTCCTAGTCATTCCCACACTTTACCACAGTGGAGCTTTTGATCCTTGAAGTAGAAACAGAAGTACTTCTCCTGTATCATAGATTTGCTTCTACCTGGGGCATTTCTCCCAGAAAACCCCAAGATTCTCTCCTGTCATCATTTAGGTCTCTGATCTAGTGTCATTTTATGTGGCAATATAGTATAGTGGTTAAGAAAATAGACTCTATAGGTTTAAATTTAAATCTTGACATTTAGCATCTGTGAGACCTTGACAAAATTAATGTCCTTGTGCCTCTGTCTCCCCATATATAAAAACAAAATGATAATAGTATCTACCTCACAAGTTATTGTGATGATTAAGTGAATTGGCATGTATCAAGGGCTTTAAAGAGTTTAATTCATTCTTCCAGGGCATATTCTTGAAATAAAGGACTGCCTAGAAATAAATTGTTTTCTTATTAAATGACTAATTCATTACATTTAATCTCTAGGACAGAGATAAAAGGCCTTTGTAACATGAATCTGATCTAAACTCTGTAGCAGAGGCTATAACTGCCCGCTCTCAGTTTCTTTTCCTAATTCTTTGACACCTGGCACTTGCCTCTTTCCAAATATTGTCATGTGTGACATACTACACCGTATAGAGGAAAACATTTTGCATACAGAGGAGATTTCTGGCTCCACATGTCTATCATTTATTTATTCACTTAGTGATATGTATGAAACATCTGCCTTGTCTCACATTGACCATCTGGCAAAAACAGCCAGGCGTGTTTATTCTCTTGAAGGAGGATCAGAAATTGATATAGCCAAGGGCTGGGCTGATTCTACACCCAAGTAAGCAGAGATAGAAAGGACTGGGTGAGCAAAGCTGTATTACATGCCAGAATAGAAGAAAAGTCATTTAAATCTCAAAATCCAAATCAAAACCTACCCTTGGTTTCTGAGCAGGCATGAGAAGATGGTAGGTGTTGGGAACAGAACTATTGTGCAGTTGGCTTTGCTGAGAGCTGGGTAAGAAAATAGAACATGACTCTCCTTTGAACTGTCACCTTTCCCTGTCCTAGTTTGTCCCAATCCCACAGATCTAGTACACAATTCCCTGTTATTTGCCACTTAGCTCAAGACTCTCTGGGAGGGAAAATCCTGTTACCCATGCCCACAGATATTTCTAAACATCCCTGGCCAAGTGTTCTGACACATGCATGTGTCTCAGAACCCATGATGTCCCAGTGACTTAAGGAAATGCCCTTAGTTCTCAAAGAAAGTCTAACTCCCAGAGAAGAAGTTGTCCACTTAGTGACATGAGACAGCATTTTCTCCCTCCAATAGTTGGAATTATGCTGCTGTTGTTAAATGACTTGGGGTTCATGGAGCAAAAATTTCCTCTTTGACAATAAATCATTCATAGATAAAGAAGGAAGAATGAAAAGATATCTACATCTCCCAGGGCTCCCACCCCCAAATTTTGTTATTTTGAGCCTGTAGAAGGTAGAGGCCGATCCGAAATTTGTGTCTCCAAGGACCAGTGCACTAAAGTAATCACAACAAATCCTACAGGCTGTTGAGGAGGAAACTCAAGGGCCATGCTCTTCCCATGATCTTTATACACAATTCTCGTCAATGGTAATGGGAATTTCCCCACAGACCTAGGAAGGATGTGACTCCAATTACACCCTTGATAATTTACCGCACGGATGCAAGTTCAAGTTCATGAAGACCTTAATCAGCTTTTAACCTCGGATCAAAATATCACACTGAAGTCCCAAATTCATTTCAGACTATTTACTTCTTCATTATTACACATTTTCAAGAGGTGTCCCTGTTCTCACGAGGACTTTCTTGGCTGTACTGAATGCGAGCCCTCCCTCCACTCCAATGCTCTCTCGAGGAGCTGAAATAAAATTATTGCATTACAAAGTGTGGGAGGGGAGTTAATTACTTGAAAAAAAAATTAGGGCTGAATTTCCAAGTGCTACTGAGTTGCCTCAGGATGTATAACAAAGTGAAGGATAAAATTATCTCTAAAGTTGAAGATCCCCTTCTCACTGAAACAGTACAGATTGTCAAATTAATTAATTTCAAAAGCCTTCAGTTATTTGCCACTGACTGTTGGGAAAAGTCCATACTCTAAGAATGATAGCCAATGATAGTCTTATGGCTTAATTCCAACACATCTCTGCAGCTTCATTTTCTAACCCTACCCCCAATACTTTACAATGTGTCAAGTTCCTTGAATGCTTCATTAACAGTCAGTCTCTTATTCAATTCTGCAAATTTGGGGGGTTGAAATTCTTCACTTTCTTATACCAAAATTACACTTTTCCAAACCTTTCTGACATTTCCCACATGAATCATCCCTTCTTCTTCCTCATATCATGTGCCTCTGTGTATTCATTATTTCATAATAACTGGTTTTATATAATTTTCTGATACCATATACATATCTCCGCACTAGATTATCTTTTCTCCAAA